AGGCATAAAGAAAAAATGGGTGACGTGTATCAAAGATCGATTTTCACGGACCACTGAGCAACGCACCAAATTCTGATTCAGCACATCGACGAACTGTGGATGCTGAGGTTCAAGCTGCTTCCGATCTTTGCTGTGATCGAGAAGGAGATCTTTCTAGTGCCCGGAAGCCAAAGACACCATTCCCTGCAGACAGGACATGCATGAAAATCGGTGCAATTCACGGAATCAGATCCTTTGAGATGCCAAGTGATCGCACTTCTTTTCGGTTCCGATCTTCGCACATGTCCTGTCTGAAACCCGTGGGGTGAATCACGGTGAATCACCTGATTCGCCCGAGCAGGACATCGGCCGAGATCGCCCGAGGCACGGGGGGCTCTTCCGGAACCCCTCGGTGAACTTGCAGATGTTGCGGCAGATGCCGCAGGCCGGATGAGTGGGACGGTCCACGAGTGCGAGAAGTGGGGAAGGAGTTGAAGGAGTTGTAGGTAGGGGGGCCCCACAAAGCATCAAAAACCTGGGCTTTCCCTAGCAACAAAACATACCAGCACCCTCCGACAGGTCACCAATTGAGACCTGTTAGGGTCCAACAACCCTCAACTAACAGCCTGTTGGAGGGTGCTGGTAGTTTTTGTATGAAAACCGTCTATTTTTCATGGGACACTGGGGCCACTGGTGACGGAAGGGTGTTGTTCTCGAGGGTTTTGGAGGGTGCAGATGTGTGGATGATGAGCTTTTGTTACCCCCAGAGTCGAGGAGCTTTGGTTACTGGCGCCATGCACTTGCACTGGTGGAGTCAAATGCTTGGGGTCAAGCACCCTAAGACCGGTCAAATGACAATGCTTTTGTTGTAGCTTTTGTTACTGGTCTGGTGGCTGCTACAATGTCTTCACGGTGGCTGGTACCTGCAGGCCCAAGCTGCCAGTCGACATCTGCGCCTCCAGACAATGACCATCTTGAGGTTCCCTGCAACAGGCAATGTGGAAATTGTTTGTTCACTGGTTATTTTTTATTTACGAATGTAGGAACTTTGGGAAAGAGAAAGCGCGCCAGCACGCAGGCGCACTGGCAGCGGAATTATCCCAACCCTTTGCCCAAAGAAGAGCAGGAGAAAGGCCGGTGAGATCGGTGAAGTGCCGTGGGGTGGAGGTCTTTCTCCCATCTGTCTGTCGAGAGGCCGAGTGCCGATTTTTGAAGCCCGCCGGTGTTTGTTTGCAGAACTCACCCAACCCAAAAGCGAGTGTCCGGCGAGAAGAAGCTCTTGAGCATGGTCAACATAAGCACTCCTATGAAGAGAGTTGATGTAATCTGCAAGGCGCAGAAGTTCAGGTGATATACTGTATCCAGACTATGATATGACTCGCATCAGTAATCTAAATCATGCGTGCGCTGCCTATACTCTGAACCTCGCTTTCCGCGCTGTCTTTCCATGCAGTCTTCAGCCTCTTTGCATGCTCGCGCTGCATGCGCGTGGTTGATGCGAGATTTTTAGGGAGTCTAAAGTAGGGCATGCCAGGATCTTGGAAGGAGTCCAATTTGGAGTCATGCAGAGTGTTGACGAGTAAAACCTCTATTTTCAGATAGAACGCCTCTTCATATGAGGTTTGACACATACTCAAACAGTCTACATTAGCATCCACCTGTCAAACAAGACCATTTTTCTGAAGAAGCCCTCGGGCGGCTTCTTCTGCCGCATTCCATTTGAGGGTCTGGCTCATCCGCCTTGTCATATTGGTACCCAAAGCAATGTCTCAGCTCAGGGTAGCTGAACACAAATTGCCACATGCAGCTGTTGCAGCAACCTAGTTGTAAGTGAATGCCATACGGATTTCGGTTCAGGCTACATGTGGACGGAGGAGGAGGAGATCCTCTTCGATGCCCTGTGGGTTGGGATGTCCCAATCGCGAACCGTGCATGGGTCGTGCTTGCTGTTGATGGGGTGCAGGGCTTTGTTTCCTTGGTCTTATTCGCACAACTCCATGCGTAGTTCTAGAGGCAGATCTAGATCTGCCGATCAGTGATGAACACCAACGCTATACTGTGCGTTGCGGGTCTTTGAACACCTTTTCCGACCCACTTGCTTCCAGGAAAAAGACCACATCCTTTGAAGGGGCCAACAGAAAAAAAACGATTCTTCATTGAAAGAGAGAAAGCAGCTGTAAGCTTCTTCCTAGCCATACAGTCAGCGGTCTTTCATCCCATCGCTGAGTTGGCTCGACCGATCTCGCCACCGGGTCGACGGCCTTTAGGCCGATCCTCACTATGGCTTGGGCTCCAGGAGGCCCTTGGGCCGGACTCCGGGAGCCCTCCGACTGTTGGAAGGACTTTGGGGGTTGGCTTCAGGCTTGGGAGGACTGGAATTCGGTATCTGAAAGCTTCTATCTCTTGGACTACTACTTATGATGGTTCTTGGAAGGTCTATGTTTCTTTGGCTTATGATTCTCCGTGTCCGCTCTGGTCGTCGTTTCGTTCTTGGTTGTTCCCTAGTCTGTTCGAACAAATCCAGTCGCAGCTCCCGTCCCAGTCGAGACGTGGTTGCCACCGGCACCCCCCGTCACAGCGTCGCAGCAGGTCTGAGCGGGGCAAGGTGGCCGTGATGTCGCTGGGCGCAGCGGACGAGCGACGAGCGACGGACGGGGCGACGGGGAGCGCGGTATCAAAGAGATGCTGAGTCCTTGGTTTTTTGGGACCGGGGTCCGGTGACAGTTTCAAGGAAAACACATCAGCAGCACTGAATGATCTGAATGGCAGAAGCTCGGGCATTGCTACTTTTTCTTCCCTCCTTCACCGCGGCTCCCATCACCCAGAAACGACCCTTGTGGCAGCCGACTTGTGGCTGCAAGCCTTCCTTCAACATCCTTCAACAGGGGAAAGAACTGGTTAGATCAAAAGAAGCCAGCTGTGCTAGACTATCTATTCTATCGGGGAGCTCACAAGTCATCAAAAACATTCTTACATATTCTTACCAGTGGTCGGTTTGTCAAAAGTACAGCCCTTTCGAGAAATACCCCTCAGCCCAAAAATGAAAAAACACTATTTATGCGAGACGAGTCTGTCTTTCTCAAGAGGTATGCAGAACCGCATCCCTTTCATGTTGCAGCCTATATATATATATAGGATTCGTGACGATGAGTGCTGTTGGCGGTGGTACGTTGCCAGCTGTCGTCCTTTCCGTTAACCCACCAACCAACCCAGGTTCGGCGAGGATATCACACACCGCTTCCTCGACGACGCGAAGCTCTCCATGTGTATGTGCCATGAATCCGACAGCAGCTCGCGGCGCGCGGCGCGCGCAAGGAGGTCCGGCATTGCACATGTGGGATGCTACTGGTCCAAATTGGATTCTACTAGCACCATCCAGTTTGGATGCTTGCATGGGAAACACATGGGTAGATAGTCGTGGGGTCTAGCTAACGAAAAGACTCAAACTGGGCTGGTGCTGGAATTACAGGTCTATGCGAATTAATAGGGTGTTGGTGTCGGGAAAGTGGCTTTGCGTCTTTGCGTCGGACGTGATGGTAGCTCGACGGACGTGTTCTCAAGAGCAAGAGTGGAATGTGTTGCAATCCATACAAGGGGCATTGAAATCATCGACATACCACGTCTTCTGGCTCATGTGGAGGTGAGTGGGACGTCAGATCCCGATTGATGCCGCACTTCGTCCTAGTCCTAAATGATGGGCTTTCGAGTGGCTTGACTTCTTTGGATTCTTCTAAGATCGCAATATTCTCTCCTCCAGATTGGGTTTGGATTTCCTTGCCATGCAAGGAACGATCACCCCCCAGGTGCAGAGCTCATTCACCTTTCCGACACGTCCGTTCCCAGCTGCAGGGCCTCTCCATGTCACACGCGTCCGCTCCCCTCTCGGCGGTCCCGTGACCAACTGTGTGACCAGCACACCAACTGGAAGCATCAAGCCCTTTGGGTTGACCAGCAGGTTTCAGGCTTTGAGGCTCTTTTTCGAAGAACTTTGAGATGCTTCTCGGCTGTAGAACCGTGGGGGTTCTAAGGGCTTCAGGCTTTTTTCTGGGGTTTACACCCTGGAAAAGGTGCTGAAAAACCACACCTTCGCTCTTCAACCTCGTCCTTCCAGTCCGGGCGGGTCCGTCCGGTCGACACGCTGGACCCCCTCAGGCGCTCGCATCGGGTGCCGCAAAACGGCTCGGGGGGCCCAGCGCGAGCTGCGGGGCGAGCGGGCTGGGCCGAGACGCGTGTGAAATAGCACGGAGATGGGAGAACACGTTATACAAGTCTATTTACAGTATATAATTATACAACTCCTGGGGATCTTAGGGAAGAAAAGATGGAACATGTGTTTTGTTGACAGTTTTGCTATGCTTTGCTGGGGTTGTTTCTTCGTTATGCTTTTCGTCCTAGTGTTGAGATAGGAACCTCCGGAAACACCTGATGATAGTTGAATATACCATTCTTCAAAGAACCACACTGCGCATTTGCTTTGAATGCAGAGGGAGACTGCGGACACGCAGATGGACGTGTACCCAAGTTTTTGAAGATGAGCGAGACTGCACACTTTGGTGACAATGAACACCACTGAAGTGACCCCATACGAGCTTGAAGACACGGTTGCTTCAAAAATTGCAAGATTCATGGCATGAAGTGATTCTCCCATCCTCCAGCGAGCTGTATTAGTCCAGGACTGCAGGACAGGACATAGACAGGACGCCGCTGAAAAATAACGCCGGTTTTCCTCAGAGGACGGCTCCTATGTGCCATGACAAAAGAACAAGTAAGTGATGGCCAAAAGCATTGCCACATATTGAACACCTCCTTAGATTGCAAGAGTGGATGGACCTCGATCCAATCTCCGATTTGATTCACGAAAAGAAGTCCAGGCCCCACGATAGTTGGGAAGGTTTTGATTCACTTCCTCAGAACTCAGCATGCTTAAGCCAATTCTAGCCAATCTTGGGAAGCACCTAGGGATGAAACCATCAAGAGTAGATCTAATCGCATTTGGATGAGCCGGCCGATGCCGTGGCGCCATGCCGCGCAAGCCCAAAGAAGGCCGAATGCGGCACCTTTGCAGCTCGTTGTCTTCTTTGGGTCATTGGGTCATTGAGAAGTAATTCCAAGATCCGTGGACTGGAAGGCATATCCAGTTGGTGTTACCGTTGTGGTCCAAGAATTCTGATGTGTCTATGCTTGAGGAAAGTCAGAGAAAACAATGCGGCGATCACAAGTTAGAGAAAGTCCAGAATTGTTCAATCCAACTGCTGTAAGACTTGCAGACATGTCTCAATTTTCCCTAAAGATCTTAAGTAAAGTTAACCCCCTCAGAACAATTAACACATCCAACAGAGTTGTTTCCGAAATTGATGGTGTGCGATCACAGTCTCAAGAATCCTGATGGGCATGATACAAAACGGTACCTGGTATCCCAAGCAAGCGAGTTGCTGGAAGGTCATCGAAGAGACTTGAAAACATCGGTTTCATCCCACAATAGCATCGTTTTCCAGCTTTGGTTGTGCCATCTTCCAGGCAAAATTCTCAGGGGGTCTAGGATGCGTTTTATGCTGCAAGGGCCTCGGTGGACAGCTGCGCGCCCCAGTGGAGAGCAAGAGCAGGAGCAGCGCTGACTGACGCCGCGTTCGCCGCGTTCGCCGCGTTCCGAGCGATCGGGAAAGAGGAGTTCAATTGAACCAGGCGTGCCATGTCGGGCTGGAACTGAAGCCCAGAATCGAGTGTGGAACATCGCGGACTTCCACTCGTACTTACCCTGCCAAACTGGTGATGCCATGTCATTGCCCTTGGCAACCATCTTTTCCCTGGTTGCCAAGCATTCTTTTTGTCTCTTCCCCAAGCATTACGACTGGGGCACAAGTCAGTCACAAGCTGGGTGGTGGTTTCAGATAACTGTGTTTTCAACCTTTCCCTGGGATGACTGAGCCCACCGACTCATGTTTATGAAGTGAGTTGAAACCACCAATCATTCAGGAGAAACCAACAACGGAGCCCCCCCACGATCTGGACGATGGGGTCTACAGTCTACAGGAGGTCTACAGGACCCACTGAGCTCATGCTTTTTTTGGTAACGCATTCTTTTGGAGGGTCTCAAGGATCATTTTTTGGGAAGGTTCTCAACATTTTAAGCCTTTCTTTTTTGGGTAACACATCCTTTGGACGTTCAAAGATCCTCTTCACCTTCGTATACTTTTCGGTTGCTAGTCATAGACAGTGACACCTCACCAGGGGCGACCCCAGCTGCCCCCCCCCCGGTCGGCACGGACGAACTCGGTGACCAGGAGCTCCTCGACGCGGATGAAGACGTCTTGGGCAGCGTCTTCAACCGCCGGGAAGCTCGGTGAGGTGCTCGGTCTTCCCGGAGGTGCTCGGTGCTCACCAGGAGTCGAGTTCCGACCGGAGGATGGATAGGGGTGCCCCTGTCACATCCACTCACTGGATGGGACGAAAAAGCACCCCAAACTCTGTGACTCCTGGTTGGTCTATTCCTTCTTCCAGGTGGGACCGCCGGCGGTCGGGCTTTTGGCTCTTTGAGCTACACCAACATGCACCACGTGCTTCTCCCGACGACGAGCCGCTCGGTCTTCCCGAAGCCGTCCTCGACCGAGGCCAACGACCGGAGTTTTACAACCCCTCCTGGTGCCTCACGCCCTTGAGGCGTCGAACGACCGAGTGGCAGCGGCCGCGAGCGCGCACATTGACGTGCGCGGCGTGGCACCGCGCACCTCGACGGTCGAGAGCCGCGGGGGTGTAGTCAGTCCAGCGACATGGCGGTGGCAGTCTTCGCGTGTTTTCACGCTGGCGGCGTGGCGCGGCGTATGGCGTCGGTGCGGCGTGGCGTTGCAGCGGTGGAGGAGCCGGTGGAGGAGCTGTTTTTAGAGCCGTTCGTGTTCCGGTTGGCACCCGAGACCCGATTTGGTCATGGAGCCGAGTGTGCTGTTTTAGGCGAACGCGCGAAGTCATTCATATTGTTTGGGTAGTTGTTTGGGTGGCAATGTCCATCTTCGGGTTGGGTCTTAGTCTTTTTTGGACGCGAGCACCACTGCTAGCGACCTGGTTTATAGCTTTTTGTTCCAGCCCGACGATGCCTTTCGTACGTAGATGTGATGCCGGTGGTGTGTAAAGGCCCAGCTGCATCTCTTGCTTCATCAACCAACCCCTCTTCGATCAACGAACCTCTGGACCGATCGTAGAAAGTATTTTGATCGCGGTCACATCTCCACTTCGGCTGCATCTCTGTGGCAAGCTACTCGCTATATGTACACACACACACCCCTTCGCTGTCTAAGAGAACTCACCCAAAAGCAGTATAATCACAGCTCCAAAACCTGCCGCGGTTGCGCATGGTGCTGGCGTATGGTGCTGATCCAGCTCAGCACCTTAGCAGTTCCAAAGGAATGGTTTGTAGATGTACTCTAATTACTAGAGCCTAAGTCAGAGGATCTTCTGGGCCCCCCATACCCTCCTGTTTGTTCGGCACCCTGGTCTTTTTTTTTCCTTTTCTTGGGATGGAATCTTGAGAGACTATGAGACGATGGGCCCCCCCAAAAATGCCGATGGGCCAGCGGAAGATTCATTCGGTGGACGTCAGAAACACCTGGGGTTTGGACCATCGCCTCGCTTGAATGAGCCACATCACTCTCCATCACCCGGTCTTGTGGTCTCCCCACAGAAGACGAGGTGCTTCGCCCCGAGACCTGAAACCCAAGCGGCCAAGCGGCCGAAGTGGCGTGCGTGCGTGAGACGGCGGCGGAAGTTCCGTTTCGCCAGGTCCACGCCGATGGGCGACCAGGATGGAGCTCAAGCGGAGGTGGGCAATATGCTGCGACCTGGACATGAAAGAGGTGTGGGTTTGGCAGCACCAAATTGGTAGATTCTTCTTAGAGGTGAGGCTTTGGCACCACCTGAAAAGTGAAAAAGGTCTAATTTTCCAAGGTGTCATGTGGCTCCGGCTCAAGAACTTGGCTCAGGTGAAGGATGTTGCAATAGTAAGACCTTTTTCGGTGCCAAAATCGAAGTGGTTCGGAATTCCCAGAGAATTGGACGTTGGGTCCGGCAACCGCTGTGTGGCACCGTGTCCTATAAGCGGGAAACCGGTCGACCGAGCGACCCCCCGGAGTCGCCGCCCATGGTTGGGCGAACGTGCGTGTTGACCAAGCACTTTAAAGTAGAACGATCATATCGGTGTGCTCAAGGTGCTTGGGGGTGTTTTGTCCATCTCTTCCTAGACCAGATGTGCTTGCGAACTTTCTTCATTGATCCTTCCAAGAAGATGAACAACTTCTTGAAAATCAAGTTCCAGGACTATTTACTTGCGCGATACTCTTCAGTTTTGTGGTGTCAACCATGTGCTGATGAGCAGGACCTGCTGCCCGGTGGAGGCCCGCCGCCTTGCAAAGATCTTCGACAGCTGGTTGTTTCGAGTCCCTTTGGTTTAGTAAGCTGCATGAACCCCCAAACGTGCCTGGAAACAGTAAAAGATGATAAGAGCATGCATAGATTCCTCGACACGTATCAGGGATGTTAAGCTACCATGTTTTCCTTGGGGGATGGTTTTGACCCACAGCCATATTGCTTGGAGGATTTTTTCGGCCATATCCCTCGAATCGAGGGAACGGAACAGGCGGTTTAAACATCCCCGATATACAGGGGTCGGACCCTCATATGGAGGGGTCTGGGCCCTCAAAACCCTATGGTTTTGAGGGACCCAAGGGCTGTTTGGAGCGGTTTGGGCATATGCTTTTGGAGAGAAACCCAAGATGCAGAGGACGTGAGTACGGCAACACTTTGGAACTTCCCTCCTTTCACGAAGGACGAAAAAGCCTCCATGGATCTTCTTGAACCTTCAGAGCTCCCACACCGATCACGTCCCCGCCGATCGGACGCCGCCGATCGCATCACCGCCAGGAACCTTGCGCTTGCCCGACCCCAGCGAGGTCCGGATCGCGCTGCGAGAGAGTCGTGGGGCTGGATGGCTGGTGTTGGGCGATGCCGTGGGGTCACCAGGCGGTTTTTCCGTCGGACGGTTTGAGCAGTGAACACCCCGCCCGCTGTGTCCGGTCGTCGTCCGGACCTTCGCAGGGATGAGTCAGGGTGTAGGTGAGTCTGTGCAAAGAAATTGAAAAAATGAGGAAGAATCGACCTAGACATAAGTGACAGAAGGGTTTTCTACTCTCCAACTCCACACGACCCCCGTGCCAGGCTGCGGCCAACCTGCTGGCACAAGCAGGCAGACGGTGGCCGGTGGAGACCGCGCGTGAAACGCGCGTTGGTCGTTGCACGGCTGGATGCCCTGCAGTGAGTTGCAGCAAGACTCATCTTGCAGAATAAACTATACCTGAACCCCCAGTCGGGGTGGTAGACATGGACACCCCGAATCACCTCTTTTGGCTAGAAACGGACACCCGGAATCCGTGGTGGTATACAGAATGAAGGTTGCGGGTGAAACAGAGGTCCATGTTGACGTCGCCAAAGGGGAGAGTGAACACCGAAGGGCCGGACTCCTAGAGCTAAAAGCCGAGCCCAGCCAGTCAGTCTGGTTCCAGGTTTCTCCTTGATGGCGCCCTTTGAGGAGCCGGAGGAGCCCCAGTCAAGCGTTGGTTTGTTCGGGCGGTGGGGACTAGCTTGGCAGCCAGGTTTCAGCCAAGAGAGACATCCGAAAACCAACCCCAGCGGGGCGGGTCAGGCCCAAATCGACTTTCCCAAATGCTCCAAACAGCCCTTGGGTCCCTCAAAACCATAGGGTTTTGAGGGCCCAGACCCCTCCATATGAGGGTCCGACCCCTGCATATGGGGGTCCAGGAGCGTCTGGGTTGGAGGAAAGTCATCGCTGTGAAGCGAGGAAACGCTGCTTGAGACGTCGACACGCCAGGAATCTGGCTGTGTATCATGCCACAGCAAAGAGTGGAGCACCTGAATGTCATTGAATATCACGTATCAGGCAAGTGGACCCCACCTGTTTGTAGAGGATGTACAAAGTAGAGGAGAATTGCTTTGCCATGCCACCTACTTCCATCGTAGGGTCAGCTGGAAAACAATATGTTACATCAGTTCAATGTCAATGCAACATAGTTTGTAGCCTAAGGGCCTTAGGATCAAGAAGAGCTTCAGGATTTATTGATTCTGGATTCAGATCCACAGAACGTCCACGGAATCTCAGGAGGGCAGCGGAGTGTTGCCTGCCTTGACCATCCAGGCTTCGAGGGACTGCTTGCAACGAACGGAGCATGCATGAACCTTCGTCCCGAAGGTCAAGTTGCTCCATCTAATCTAATGGCTGGTTTTTGTTTGGAGCTTATGGAGGGGGCCATAGGTGTGCGGGGCGTCATTTCTGCAAGGTCAACCACCCTGATGTCATGGGCTTCGCCCGGTCTGAGCATTCGTTCGGCAGAGAGGTTCTTCTTGATGCCCCAGCCACCAAACGAACACTCCAAACGAAAATATAAACAAGATCTTGAACAGTGAGATACAGTTCGAGTGAGACTTTTGCAAATCAAAAAGGCTCTTTTTCATCCTTTACGAAGAAGAATAAAAAAGAAGAAAAAGAAGAAGAAGAAGAAATATAGTAATACGAAGAAAGAAATAGTAAGAATAATAATAATTAAGAAGAAGAAGACAACAAAGAAGGATGGACAAACAGATGAAACAGACTCCATCCAACTCGTCCTCTCTTCCTCGCTTCTCCGGTGCAGGTGCCGGAATCGCCCCTCGAGGCCGTTGCGGTGGGGGGGTGGGGAAGCAGACCACTCCCAGGTCGGAACGTGTGAGTCTTTGGGAATTCATCAAGCAGTATTAGTATACTGTACTGCCATTTTTTTTTTACTGTATGGCTCAGTTGGTGGCAATGTTTTCGAACAGCTCAGTTGGAGCGGCCTTCTGCTTTTGCACCGTGCACGTGACGGATGCCCTGGTGGGTGGTGCCTTCAGTTCCTTCAGTTCACGGGAGACCGAAGAAACCGGTCGGATGGCCTGCCAGATGCGGGCGATTCGTCAAGTTCTGTCAACTTCGTCCTCACAGTCCTGCGGGGATGGCATCGGAAGGGCGCAGGAGGACAGAGGAGGCATCGACACAGGTGTTCGGCCAGGTGGAAATCGGAGGCAGAAGCCCATTCTGCCAGCTCCAGAAGATGCTGATTCGTCCAAGTGTCTCATAAGCCAGAGTGTCTCATAGTGACATATATGTCACCTCGATCTTTAAGGCTTTACCCAACCATTGGTTTGCCAGTGGGGTCGCAGATGCCCCACGCCTGTGACGCTTGTGTGTGAAGACGGTGGTGCTTTCTTCCTCCTTGCGGACTTGGAAGACGTGTGAGCCTTGTGTTTGCGCAAGCTCGGGGAACAGAGGCTCTCCTTGACCTGTTGACCTGGAGGTTGAGGACCTCCAACGCATGGAGACTCAAGATGTTGAGGTTTTCTGGGATGACTTGGAGCCCTTGATCAAAGGCCAGTGCCAGCCTTTGCCCTGCCATGCTATCCCCTTCCACTAGTCACTATTTCATGGAGTGTATCTACCTCCGCGTGAACCTCGAAACCTGGTGGCGTTTTTTGGGAGCGTGTTGGACGCCAAGAACCGGTGAATCATCGAATGACCTCTTTTTCTTCCCGTGGGTGATTTTAAAGATGGTCCGCACATGTCCGCGCAAGACATTGCAGCCTCAGGAGAGGAAAGAGATATATGATACTGTAATACAATTGTAGAGTATACAACTTCATACAGATTTAAAACATTTTAAAACAACTCCTATGTGTGAAGCGGATTCCGGTTTTTGGGTTCGAAACTCTTTCCCCTCCGAGGGGACCGTGTTTCCGCTCCGCGCCCTCGCAGCGCTTCTTCTCCGACAGGAGATCCAAGAGGCACCTGGCATCGGGCGCTGGGTATCGATGGCGGTGAGGGGCTCTCCAGCTCCAGCGCTGGGCCTGGCCACTGATCGGCAGACCTCTTTTCTCTCCCAACCATGCAAGATGTCTGCCTTTTGGCGGGGGTTCTACGGAGGAAAAGGCAGAACTTTTGCACAGTTAGAAGATCATTCGATATGCAAGATCATGTGTTTTTGATCCTTTTGCTCTTCATTCCTGCTGCTTCTTATGTTTGTTTCATATGTAATTCTTTCTTTGGATCTATGGTGGCTCTTTCAGGATGTGCCTGCAGTTCCGCGGAACTCGTGGAACTCCCGTCTCTCCACCGCGTGGAGCCGTCGGCCAGGCGGACGAGGCCTCGGACCACCGCGCAGACACGGGGCCGATCGAACGGGAGGCGGGTACGGGCGAGCAACGGGTGAGAGGCAAAGCAGGGAAGGATAGGAAGGAGCCTGCGAGACCCAGAGATTCTTGGATCCAGCCTCATTCCCCACTGACCAGGAAAAACTATTGATCTACTGGTATGATGACGATGTTCCATTCTTTTTTGAGATCTAGGACAGAATGAAGAATGGCTCCCCCGGTAGAAGAAGCAATCAGGGTTAGTCAGGTCCGAGCGTTTTTGCTGCCAGAGGGCGGTCATATGTGTCCAAATTGTGACCTCTTATAAATCTAATGGGATCTAATGCAGCTGGTTGGAGAGCAATTGCAGCAATTCTGTGAGATGTATTTTTGGCGCTGATGCAGTGCGAGCTCCCAGATGTTGACGAAATCGAATCGTCGAGTGATGACTTACTGCTGCCCTTCGATAGACAGTAGTCATTGGTAATGGCGAACGTGGTGGGGACAGCAGCCATATCCAAGATGAGCCAACTACTACTACTAACTGCTACTACTACTACTACTACGACTACTACGACTACTACGACTACTACGACTACTACGACTACTACGACTACTAC